ATATATACACACACACATACATATTTATGTCTATAATTAATGGATGGATGGATGGATGGATGGATGGATGGATGGATGGATGGATGGCTCTCGGCCATGGGTCAGGCAGCCCCTCCGAAGTCGTCAGCGTGACTCCAGTTGGAATGCAGGCTCCCAACCAGCAAAACTGTTCAAGCACACCCATCCTCACCATGACCCGCGTCCCCTCTCCGAAAAGATATTGTCTGCTCAGGGCAGGGGTATGTTCAGCAACACAGTCGTGGTTCCTCGTAAGGGTGCCCTATCCCACTCCCCCCCAGCTGGCAGACGGAATCACCCGGCTCCCACATGCGATCCTTCACATTCATCCTCACATGGGTGTCAAAGCTACTGGCACTCAAATTTGTGCTGGCCAACACCCGTAGTGACTGCATCCCTTCAGTATCGGCCGGAAGGAATGGCCCGAGCAGGAAAACTTTCCTGCCGGGCCGTGGGAACGGCCGGACTTATGTCGATATTAATTTGTAGACATACATACATACATACATACATACGTACATATCTACATACACATATCATATACTTAAGGTTAGCTACCCAGCCTCTAAGTTTTAGAGCTCTATAGGGCTTACGGATTAGGGCTTAGGTTTATGTGTGCCCACCCGCACCCTCGGACCAACAAATCACGCCCGGCCTTCACGTAGTCTGCCATGACCTTGCAGCCAAAACAGAAAGGACACCCTTCGGAATCGGTATAGTTATATACTCTATAACCCAAAGGCTCCTAGGTACTGTTATGGGGGGATACTTTCCCAAATCATAACAACAGTTCATATAGAAACCCTACATTCTACTATATAGGTACTTTGGGACCCTTTGGGTAAAGTAAAGTCCACAAGCGACATCTCGCCACTGTCTTGGGCCGAGGGTTCATTCGAGTTGGGTTTTTGGGGGTTTAGTCTGCGAGATTCGGGTTTCCGAAGCGTTGCTCAGTTTGGGGGGTTCACGGTTTAGGGTTGAGGGTTTAGGGGTTTAGTTATAGGGTTTAGGGTTTGTAAGGTTTAGGTTTTCGGGCTTAGGGCTCAGAAGGTTCAGGGTTTAGGGCTTATAGGGCTCCGGAATGGTAGAAGAAAGCCCAGTTCTGATTCCCCGGGCCTTGGGAAGCCAGGTGGACAGGCTGTGGTACGTGATCGCACCCCCCTGGAACCTGCGTGGGGGACTGCGCAGCTGTCTTCCTCAGAAACCGCTAGATGCGCCGAGGTTTCGGTTTAGAGGATTGAGTGTGGGGGGGCTAGTGTTGTTGGACGGCTTCTGAGATTTGACATGTGTGTTAAATATCGGAGCTGCGATTATGACGTTTAGGCTTGCAGGGGCGCGTCGCATACCCGTAACTTTGCCAGTTCTAGCCCAAGGTTTAAATGCTTAAACCTCAACGTCTTGCGAGTAAATAGCCACTGGAACTGAAATTTATAATGACCCTGAGCCTGAGCCGTTGACAATACGCAACTACACACTCAACCCCAGAATCTGACAACCCTAATTATATAGATGCCTTCATTTTTAGACTAGAGTTTTGGGCCGAAGGCTGCTATAAGTACAGCATGCGGTCCGAATTAAGGCATAGTTATTGTTACAGGCCTCTCTATTCAACTCACCCTTCAGCTTCGGACACCCCAAACTCTTAAAGAGCAACGCGCAACAGGGTGTGTAGGATTGGGGGATTATTAGTTCACACCTGTGGAACCAGAAACCTACTACCCTGAGGGTCATACCCAATACATTTGTGGTCATAACCTACTCCTTTATTATTATTGTTTTTGTTTATTTATGTATGTATATATATATATATGTACTTTTTTTTTGGGGGGGGGTTGGGGCCAGAAGTAACTTACCACACCTTCAGTTACAGGGATCATCTTATCCCAAAAAGCTTGCAGTGTAGTAGTTCTACTACTAAGGTAAAGGGAACCCTGTCATCTATCCTGGGCCCCGAGATAAAATCTGAAGGGCTCCTCTTGGGGGGCTCTTCCAACTCAAAAAAGTGTTCCGTTGAGAGTTCCTTTTTGGGGGCATCCTGATACATAGAGTAATCCTTGCTAAGGTCTTCCTGATCTTATGAAAAGCCATACTCTTACCGTTTATGCTACTTTCAAGCTAGGGTTTAGGATTTAGTTTAGGGTTTGGGGTTTAGGCTTTAGGGGATCATTCCTGATCCCTAAGCCCAACACCCGAAACCCCAACAGTTCTAGCACGCAGCTTGTTTCTGCATTGCTTCCTCCCCGGAAGCAACAACCGTAAGTGGAGTCACGCTCGGTCTTGCAGGACATGTGTGGTGTTCTTCAGATAGCTCATGTGGGGGGCCAGGGCCCTATACCCTAAACCCCTAAACCCCAAAAAACCTAAACCCCAAAAAACCTAAACCCTAAACGTCCCTAAAACCTACGAAGCCTAAGCCCTAAACCCCTAAACTTCCCTAAACCCTATAAAGCCTAAACCCTAAACCCCTGAACCAAGTAAAGAAGCCTAAACCCTCCCTAAACCCTAAACCCTAAACCCTAAACCCTACAAAGCCTAAGCCCTAAACCGTGCCACTCTGCAGGGCCAATTAAGGTCCCCAGGTTGTTTTGGTCTGGAAACTCCCGAGCGCCTACCGCCAGAAGACTTCTCAACATCTCAGCACTGAACCGGTAACCAAGGAAGAGGCTTACACCATGGTGGTTTAGGGTTTAGGGATTAGGGTTTAGAGTTCAGGGTTTAGGGTTGTGCATAACTTAGTTGTCCAGTATCCTGGGGGAAATAAAGGGTAACCGTTGGGATTGTCTAGGGTTCTACTAGCCCAAAAAAGGGCAAAGGTTGCCCATACCCTACTATGAAGAGAACCCCACCCAGTCTAGCTGTCCAAGTGTCCGATACTCAGGTACTTGGGTTTAGGGTTTAGGGCTGAGGATTTAGGTTTTAAGGTTGAGGGTTTAGGGTTTTGGGTTTAGGGTTTTGGGTCCAATGTTTAAGGAGAGCATGGGATTGTTAGCACCGCATTAACGTCCTGGCTCCATGTTTCAGGGCGCGTTCGGAGTCGTAGCGCGGCTAGTTTACGGTTGGGGATAAAAGGCCCAGATGCTGAACCGAGCAACCTTCCCCCAGGCTGCATGTACCTACAAAGCATACTTAGGCCTTAAAGGGGGTCCTATACAGATATACTTCAATAAATATGATAAGTATATAAATACTATATACGCCTTAAGGGGGTCCTATACAGATTTAACAACTATATAATAAGTATAATACTACATACGTACATGGAGCCTTCGGGCTGCTTCAGAACGTGACTCCACTGGGTGCATCACGGTTTAGGGTTTAGGGTTCATGGCCGTTGCATGAACCAGCCGATAGCTACAAGCCATTGTCCTCCCCGCAGACGAAGATCCTCACCCTGTGGGTCCAACGGTTTTAGGGTTTAGGTTTTAAGATTTAGGGTTTAGGGTGGTGTTCCTATCCTCCCCCAAATGCAAACCGAGACGCGTACCGTCCTAAACCCAAGTGCTTGCTTGATGGGTCCGTTGCAGCACTGGGGTAGGGTTGCCCGAAATACGCAGTTTTGGTAGCTTTTGGTTGGCAGATGTTGGGCTTTTTATACGTTTAAGGGTTAGGAGCGACGGAGGTTCAGTGTTTGGCGTCTTGGGAGTTAGGGGATTACCAGTACTGGACCATTCCTTCCAAAACCTCAAGCCCTACACCCAAAATTCTATACCCCTAAATCCAAAACCCCAACACGCACAGCCGATTACTACAAATCAGCAGGCTACCATCAATGACTTTTTCACACAGCTAGGGCTTAGAGTCTTGAGTTCTTAAGCTTCCCCTGAGACCCAGATATAGAAATGTGGAGAAATGGTACTATAAGTCGGAGTCCAATGCGCATGATTGGTATCTACTTGGAGCTCTTCGGGGTGTCAGGGATCATACCTGTGATGTCCTATTAGAGGAAACTACAGGTGGGTACTTTAGGGTATATAGGGCTTCTAGAAGGCTTCTATAAGGTATACAGACCCTGAGGCTCCTAGAACGGTAACTATCCCACCTGAAATGTCCTAGACGCTTGAGCTAGATGATGTTCGCCTGTGGGAGGGAGTTTGACAACAAACACTACGCGTCGCAAAGCCGGCATCGAGTCACTCTCCTCCCCCGTCCATCCTGGCGTCTGCTTGTCATCGCTGACCCCTTTACCCATAGGTCCCTCAGTAGTTCCTTTTTATGGTTTACATTTAGAACCCTATAAAGCAATCCCAAGAAGGAACTACTTAGGGGCCTGGGTAGACACCCACACAGAAGCCCCTCAGAAACCCCTGTAAAAAAAGCAGGAAAAGCCGTTTCAAGCCAAGGGAACCGCATAACCCTAAAACAATGTCCAAGATGAGTCACCTGCATAGAGGCGGTCTCTCAACCAAGGAAATTTCGCGAGGTTTCAAAACATTCAAGGGTGGCGCAAGCCGTGCTGCCTCAACATGCGTGCTTCCAGGGTAAATGCGTGCTCGCTCGGATGTTGCATTGAGCCTTTGAAGTCTTCATGTGTCATGGTGAAAGCAGACATGTGCATGCCACAGATCATTGTTCATCGGAGAAGAATCTAAGAAGCTTTGAGTAGACTCCTCCCCGCCATGTCGTTTCACGAAAGGGTCGAGCAGGTGGCGCCGTTTGTATACCTGGAGGGTTATGGCAGTGAGTCACCTGTGTTTCGACGAGAGCGTTATGTCTACGTTCTTGAGTACGGACACAGCCTTGTATCATCGGCCATGGAACGAGAGCCTAGTCTGCGATTGGTTCGTGGCGAGTGTCTCTGAATGTGTTTGGTTGCAAAACCCAGTCATTCATAATATGTTCCCCCGAGGAAGGTGTACCGACTGCCACAGTGGACGGGCTCGACGAAGCCGAGAGTCTGCTCAAGACTTCTGGGCAGGACCTATGCCTTTTGGCAGCATTCGGGGGCTCCCGTTCTGATCTTGTGGGTTTCTTGGGCAGCTCAGGCTTGGTCATGGCGGCAAGGGTGCTGCCTGGTGGGCTTGTGCTCATCGTGTGCCTGGGTTCAATGCATTCACTATCAGGTATGACCCTAATTTACTCCTGGTCTGGAGAAACTCAGGCCGTTTGGTCGCTTGGATGTCAAGGAGGAGGACGTGAAGAAGGTTGCCGTGACTTGCTTTGGATTTGTTGGTCGCTGCTGTTCGGAGGTTTTTGTACTTGACAAGAGTGCCATTTGCAACCCAGGCATTCTTGAGTTTGGTGGCTCAACTTTGTGCCTGGATCAAAGTGCGAATGATCATCCAAGTGGATGCGAAATATGCCGCCTGGATGGAGGCCGAGCCGGCCTTGAAGGACAGTTTGCATTAACTAGGGAAAGGACGGCTAGGGCTTGAATTGGGTACTTTGAGCAACATATGTCTTGATCCTCATTGCAGTGCAAGCAGGAAGCAAGCACACAGCTGCGGTATGCGAGAGCCGTCATTCCGATGGGGCCATTTGGAGCCAGGAAGCAGCCGCTTGTTTGCATTGCTTTCGTAGTTCGAGCCTGTTGAGTTGGCAGATGCATGTGGCCGATGAGCCGCAAAACGAAGCCAGGATGTCGGTTTTTCTTTGGGGCTCCGACCACCTCGTCATCCGTGCCATGGAAACACATTTCTGGGAGGCTCCTTCGGATGCTGCTTGTTCGGAATGTAGAGTGCAGAGAATTTAGCCAAGCTCGTGGCTTCTGTCCTGTGTGCTGCTTTTTGCCTCACTCAGGTTCTGTTGGGTGGGGAACAAACGCAGCTGTGCCTTCCCGTCAATGCCGTCTTTCGTCGAGGACCGCACGGCGACTTTCGTGTTTGCTGCCACTCGCCTGTAACTTCAGCCTATAAGCCGTTTAGCTGTGTGCTTTGTGTCTGGGTTTGCAATTCAAGTCCACCCGCTTCAGATGGTGGACGTGCTGATGCTCAGACACCGAAGATCGGTCGAGAGCTTGATGGCTCTGCACATGGTCCGTGCTTTGGATGCGATAACCCGTGACTTGATCAAGCAGGCCAGGGCCAGGGCGATTGCAGGAGTTCATTCCAAGCTCCTTTAATGTTGGTCCCTGAGGACTTCGACGGCTGTTACAGCCTTTACATTCCCGGCAAACGCCTCCCAGAGATTTGCTGCGACCCGCGCCGCGACATGAACTTCGAGGCAAGCTTCTAATTCTCGTGCTTGCATGTGTATTTGATTTGTGCTGGTAACTGCTAAGCTAGGCTAGCTAGAGGGCTTCAAGACATTGTATAGGCTTTCGTGCCGTTTCTGCAGATCAGCGAGTTCTATGTGACACGACCCCTCGGGCCAAGCACGCTTTCTGTGATTGCGACGTGTCTGCATGAAGTGTATTCAGCTTGCTTGGGTGCCCCGTTGTGGCTTTTCGCTTTGTGCTTCTGTTCGCATTTCGCTGGGAACAGTTTCTTTCTTGGTGTTGTGGAGCGAAGATTTATGCAATTGCTGAGGCAGCGGATCCCACTGGTGTGGATGCCATGGGCCAGGACCGGCCTTTGTGAGCCAGTGTATTATTCCACTAGATTGTTAGGGGAATCTGTTTGCTCAAGTCACAACCTCCCAGGACTGGGAGCTCTTGGGCGAGGAGAATCCGTGATGACAAGGTCGATCTGTGGCTGTGATTCAGTGATGGGATGCTAAGCATGAGGATTGTAGAACAGAACAATGCGGCAACCGAGGCTTCGCTTTTTCAACTTTGGCTGCATATTGGCTGAGATATGCAGATTTTGTGCCCTGGATTAAATTAAAATGGTCGGTGCGACAATCAGCTGTGACACACACCTTGTTTTGACTTGAGAATGCTACAGCTTCTATTACTAATTACTGACTTCTAATTCTATTGTAAGTAGTACTGGTATTAGGGTACGACCTCCTCTCCTAGAGCGAGCGAATGATCAGGGTTTGGTTTGCACGTTGTAGTCCCTGTGTATCTGTATGATATACGAGAAGCCAGCTGATACTTCAGAGCTTTGCCAAGTCCCCCCCTTCATGAGGAGAATTGCTGGCTGGTGGTATTGGCCACTGGCGATGCGATAATTACGTTCCTTGGATTTCAATCAATCAGTGACGACAGTTCTGACCAAGACTCGAGCCGTGTTTTTTGGTCCGTGCTGCTCTGTCTGTCAGTCAGTCTGATCCACCGACCTAAACGCAGAGGCCCCTAAAGCCCTCCTTGGGATTCAGTTGCCAGTGCAACTCAGGAGCAAATTTGCCACGGCATTCTCTCCGGCTTTGCTGCTATAAATGGAAATACAGATCAACGAATCAACGAGACAATCTAATTTGGTGGCCTGTTATCGATATGTAGCCGCTTGGCTTAGATGAAACCGCTGTGCCTGTCTCCCGGTGGCAAAGCTGGGGCTGAGAGCTTGCTGCTTTTCTGGGGTTTCGGGGTCTAAGCTCTTAGTGTAGTTCGGGTGCTGGTATTAAACTTTACATAGTCCACTTCTCCTTTATTATCTGAGTCAACAGACTCATGAATAAAGCTGTATTTTTTACAATACTACGACCCTAGTGTCTGTGGCTGAGCTAGAAACATGCAGCTGATAAGGCTGGGTCGGTGGTGGCAACCAAAGAAATAGATAGGAAAAATCTAGTCACTGGGCCCGGTCCGTGTTGTGGGTTTACATAGGCATAGCCCTCGAGAGCACTGCCGAATCAATGCCCCAGCCATCCAGTCGCGACGCTGCTGTAGATCCTTGGATTCGACGAGAATCCAAGGGGCCGAGCCGAAGGAGCAATAAAGAGTGTTGTGCAGCATGTTCAAGTTCCGAAAGTGCTGGCATGTCTACACAGCAGCCCTTGCCTGTTTCTGACCTACGACGGCTCCCTGCTGGCTTAAAGCGGCATGCCACGCGAACTGTGATTCCTTCAGTGAGTGAATGACGTCTGCTAGGAAGCACATCCTGGGCTCCGTGTGAGGCACTCATTAGTAAAAGATTAGGAAGGGATCCGGCTTTCATCAGTTCGGTGTCCTAGATTCTTTTGGGTTGTGGCTGTTTTGCGACGATCACGATCGTCTTTGCATCGACAACATGGTCAAGATCGAGAAGCCTGCCAGGACACAGAGTTATTGCTTTTCTTGTTGGCCTCGGAGGCTTCGCAAATGTGTTGTGAAGCTTGTGCACGCTGATAGGAGCAACTCCACTCGAAGCTTGCAAGCTGTGGCCGAGACCACCGAGGAGGACAACCCCGCGAGAAGCTTTATGTTGAGCACGGCAAGGAGGTCTTTAGATGAAGCTTTGGGCAGTGGAGGCCGGGGTCTAATTTCGGGCCGAGGTTCCTGCTGGTTGATTGTGAGAATCATCACATCATAGCCAAGAATCAAAGGCCAAGAGTGATTGCATTTCTTGTATGGAACACCTCGGCAAACGAGCTAAGGCAAGCCCAGCGACGCCGACAAAAAGAACAAAGACAAGAAGAAGAAAGACTCGAAGAAGAAGTCTTCGAAGAAGAAAGACAAGAAGAAAAAGAAGAAGAGCCTCTTTCCCTGCAAGCACGCTTGAGTATGAGGGAATACATAATTGCATCATGGCCGCTTGCAGTCTGGACAATTTCATCCAAGGCAGCAGCTCATCCTCCGGAGCTACAAGTGCATCCAGCACCTCGGTGGACAGTGATGACTTTGACGACAGTGCCTCCCTCTTCGGCTTGGGCAAGCGAGATCTCATGAAGCCCGAGGAGGCTTTCAAGGTCGACGATCTTCCGAGCAAGCACGTTGGATATGTCATATCCCATGTCAGTGAGATGCTCACTGCTACGGATGTATATGAATGTGGGGGCGAGCTGGTAGCTTGGACTGCAATAATACGAATTCTTGCCGAGCTCAGGGTTGTGGTTCGGAGGTATCCAATCTAATTAAACCAAGCCCTAAAATCCCTAAAATTGCCAGGCAAATCCTCACGCCCTGAATGCCTCAACCTTTGGGTTTGTACCTTTCAATCCCATCATGATTACCCACCTGTTGCCTATGTGGTTCTTCCTTTCAATCTCTTGAAGTCTAGACATGCGAATCCTATTCAGTTGTTCCTGACTGTACATTTACATGGGTCAGACAAAATGTACCCGCGAATCTCTGCTGTCCTGGGTTTCAACTAATGATTGAATCTACAGAGTTAAGGGCTGATTGGTGTCGAGCACAGCAAAACCCTGGCATCTCGTGTGCAATACTTGCTGCAGGAGACGCTTCTCAGCTCCCGCGAGAAGAAAGCCGGCAGGCTCCGGCAAAAGGACGAGAAGGAGAAGTTCGCCTTCGAGGCTCGCAGAGAAGTCTGGATGTCGACGGTTAACCTGGGATGAGGCTTTGGCTTTTTTTTCGCGGTTTGTTTGCAAGTCAAAGTTAAAAGTACATTGTTTGGACAATAGATCCCATTGACTTGATGTAGAAGCTATGTGAAAGCAATCGGGATGCTGCGGTCATGAGTTCTGAATTCGTCTAAAGAATAGGGGCTCTGCTTTGGGCCTTAATAAATATTATTGCTGGTCCGCTTTGGGTTTGTCACCAGCAGCACAGATCCATAGTTGATGCAAGCAGGTGTGCTTTAGGTCCTCTTCAGGCCTTTGTGCTTCTGAATTCTGAGCTTCCGTATATGCACGACCTAGTAGCACTAGATTACTTAATTGAAGTAATCGTCCAAGTTCAGAATCTTCATTCTACATCACCCACAATTGTGGCCCAAAATGCTAAGCACCACAAGAGCTCCACGCCGGTGAGCCCTGAGCCCATAGTTGTCCTAGAACCACACGATTCCCTTTTCCCAAACTCACTAAACCCTAAATTTTAAATGCCCAAAAACCCTAAAAAACCCACTAAACCCTAAAACCCTAAAACCCTAAAGCCCTAAAACCCTAAAACCCTAAAACCCTAAATAAACCCTAAACCCTAAACCTAAATAAATATGTATATATATATATGTATATATATATATATTTATTTATTTATTTATTATTAATATATATATATATATATATTTCAAAGATACATAAGTAGTGAATCATTTACAGGAAGCCATACCCGTCTGCCTAAAACCAAACCCCTAATCTAAGCCAGACCAGGGCCCATAAAGAATAGCATCCTGGCATCCTGTCGCAGGGCCGCACGGCATCCACGATATGGGCCAAGAGGATGAGCGACCTCGTGGTGGCACGCCGCTCATCCACATCGGTTCCACAATTTAATAGCATTTAGGCTATGCAGCATACATAGTTAATTGCTACAATGTGCATAACCCTTAAACCTAATCCCGAAACCCTTGTCTCAGGCAGAGTTGATTTAAACTTCAGGGCCGGGGGCTAGGGCAAGGGTTCGATTTCTATTTGTTTCGGGCCAAGCCGAGTGTTCAGAGGGGGGGGGGGTTGTCGTTGGGACATAACTACTTACACTTCCGATCTGCAGGGTAGAGCAGTCAGACCTAGAATATACTCTGTGTCTGGGCCATGTATTATATTCAGAAGTGAGTTACCTATTGAGAAAGAGAAGATCAGAGGCAATGCGGCTAAGCTTCTTTGCGAGGTTGTGTGGGTGCCATAGTTCGAACTTCTCAGTCAGGCTGGTGTAGCACATTGTACCATCCCGAGCTAGCCCAAAACCACCGCCCCCACAAGCTAGCGAAGAGGACAAACCGTGTTTAGTTATATTCCAAGCATAAATAACCTCAAACCCGAGAAAAAATATCAGCTGAGTCACGGGACGATCGCCAAGCGGTGTCTCCATCGGCAATGCCAAGTCCTTGGCCGATTGCGCGGCTGTGGTTCGGATTCTCTATCGGAAGCACAAGAGGTGCCAAAACTACTCTGTTTTCTATTAGAGCAATGAGTTAGTCTATTGATTAGTAATATTATACCTGGACGATGATTCTCTGTCCTACTACCACTAAATAGTTCTCAGCAACATTAGTGATTACTGGGTAATTAGCTATTATTAATACTAAATATAACAAGACAAGAAGAAACTAGACCTTAGACCCTGAACCCTTACATCTCGAAACAGACAGTGTCAGTAGCCTGACAGGAAGTGCGGGGGAAAAGATGCGATTGAGAAGAAGGTCAATGCACTTCTGAACAAGGAGTTACTTAGGGCCTTAGGGAAAGCCTGTGTCCAATTCACTGATGTCAGCCTTACAGTATATACTATTTTTCGCATGCCGAAGGCTGCTGTGCAAGATCTGAAAGCCCAGCTGGAGAAGCCGGCGGCCCATGCAAAGGAGAAGGCTACTGCACGGAAGAGACCGTTGGAGAAGGCGGCTGCCAAGGCGACCCGCCCCAACAAGAGGCCCAAGGGCCTCAAGGCCCTCAAGGACCAGGAGCAGGAGGAAGAGGAGCCGGAGCCGGAAGAGGGCGGGTTCCTGGGACCTTCGGATGTGCCGCGGCCACCTTCCGAGTCTGAGGACCAGGAGAGCAGTGATGGTGTTTTCACAAAGCTGCTAGCTGATGCCGAAGCAACTTTTGAGGATGGAGCTGGGTCTTCCGACCTCGAGAGGGCCATGGACTCCTCCGACGAGGAGGAAGAGCAGGAGGACGAGGACGCAGACATCTTCCAGGGCGACTTCGCCGAGAAGAAGGAGACGACGAGTGCAGAAAAGGGCCTTCCGTCGAAGGTGCAGGCCCTGATCGAGAAGCTTGACAAAGCATTGGTCGCCACGTTCCCCAAGGACCTTTCGGAGTGCCCTGCTGCACATATTATGAGCCTGTAGATGTACTCTCGTGACAAGATTGTGTTCAAGCAACAGCTTTGCTCACGCATCGGTCTTGCTGAGGTGTGATTTGGCTAATTGGGTTCGCACGATGTACCACGAGAAGCTCCTTACTTTGGACAATGTACAAGCCGCTGCCAAATTGGTAGGCCGGATCTTGCAATCTAGAAGAGATTCTGATTGGAGTTCCATGATAGCAACATGTTTTTTTTCTCTCCGAACCGCTTTCTGAACAGAGGCACCATTTCCGAAAATCTCGGCCCCGGCAAGTCCTTCTTCAACAAGATGTCTATGAAAGCGAAAGCCGACATGGATAAGTGGGCTGAAGGAGTACAGAATGGAGAGGCTACTTGTCATTATCGGTCTGAAGTATTCGCGAGAGGCAGTGTTATTAAATGTTGCTTGGTCTTGCTGCATCCACGAGGCCTTCGAGACTCCGGCACGTCGGCCGGCGGCTTCGGTTCCTTCCACCGGCTGAGTGGCAGGTGCTTGCTATATGTGCGAATGGGATGAACCTTGAATTGCACTGTGGACGGATTATGATCCACGGTGTCTGTATGCTGGCAAGTTAGGAGGACCATGCCTTTGGGATCCTTCTCTAATTCTAGTAGGAGTGTAGGATGAACCGACCACGTTGTCGCACTAACTTGTGCTTCGTGTAAGGGCTCTATTCAGTCTACTCTTGAGAAGCAGGACATGGTTTCTACTTTGTTTTCTACTTTGTAGTTATTTACTGTCTTCTACTGAGTGACCTAGTTCTGGGCACTGTGGTATTGTTATTATGAACATACTGAAGTTCTTCTCTTCAGACAACAGCAAAGTTACTCTTGCAGCTCCTACTCTAATTATGTCGTAATAGACTAAGACAGGGAGGCATGGGACTTCTCTTTTGGCCACCGTGCTGTGGTGGATGGAGGCTGCGATGGGCTCGGCCACTTGAAAAAACACAGTTGGATCTAGCTTGCACCTTGAGTTAGTACTCTTGTCTTGCCCAGCAGCTGCTTGCTTCGGAATCAGCACAAACATTCTAGTTGATCCGCTTGAACTCTGCAGGCTTATGCTGGCTTGCTTTGTACGACCCATGAGTCAGGTATTGCCACGGCTTCCATGTCGTATCGGTCGGTGGAGAGCAGTCAGAGCCGAAACCCAACCAATAGGAGAAGCGATGCTATGAATTGAAGACTGACACGCAAGCACCCGGAACCAGGAAACTGATCAGACCATCTCCCACTACTTACCTTCCTTAAGCCCCTGGCCCCGAACTGCCAACACTAATAAAGTCTTAAATTCATGCCCGCTAGGAACCCAGTCCAGGCTAAGCAGACCAATGTGTACTGTTCCCAGAATAACCTTGGGTCCGGAGCCAGCATAGGCACGATAGGAACAAACACCCTCCCATTGCCAATCCTATCTCTGAGCCCAATAAATAACCACATCCCTCAGCCCTGGAGCCACACGATCCCAGCAGACGCAGGGAACAACCCTAAACCGTATTCATAATTATGTAAGTAGGAGCCCAGCCAGACCTAGCCCATTAGCTTTCCTGCTCCTGGTCCTGGTGGTTCGCAGCCGATCCATCCAGAGATCCTGGGCTGCAGACAGAAGCCAAGGGGATCCGGGAAGATGAGATTCTGTCGGAGAGAGCATAGAAGGGGACAGTGGATCTGGGTTCGAGGCTCGGGGGTGGGGTGCCGCAGATTCGTCGAAGAGAGCAATAGAAGGGGAGAGTGGATCCTGGGTTCCGGGGCCCGGTGGTTGGGGGCCGGTTTAGCTGGGTGATGCCAAAGAGAGATTTAAAGGCAAAAGCCTGGTCCTAGGGGTTTTTCTAAGTTTTTATAAGAGAGTTCTTGGGAATCAGACCACGTGTGCCATGCATACGTGCTCGCTCGACACTCGCGGGTGCATTTGCGTGCTCGCTCGACATGTACGTGCTCGCTGGACACGTAGTGTGCTCTCTCGCGGTGCTACGTGCTCCCGAACTTAGGAGCTCCGGTCAGCTGCACGCGGGTTGTCGGCACGCAAATCTTTGGGAGCACGATTTCGTACTAGACGCAGGCCCGAGCCATTAAATGGACATTCCTCGAGACATCATGCGTGCTTGCTCGAAAACACGAGCTCTAAAGGAACGCGTGCTCGCTCAGATTTCCGTGCACGCAACGTGTCGCACGCTGCCCGCACGCACCGCCGAGGGAGCACCGAGCCCGAGCGAGCATGCACGCCGAATCTGAGGACGAGCGGTGGCAATGGCAGCTTCTGGCTGGCTGACAGGAAGACTTCGCGATCTGGCGGAGTGGCTCTACTACACATTAACGTGCTCGCTCAAATCTAGCGTGCTCGCTCAAATTTAACGTGCTCGCTGGGGTTCATAATAGTGTTGCTGAGATTCACCTAAGGCTTGGCCATGGGGATGGACGAGCTGAGCTGATCGCGAAGCTTTATCAGAAGATATCATTTGTGGATAGCTGCTTCCTCGGCAAGAAGTCATTATTCGATGAAATAGCCGTCGACGAGAAGAGCTGGGAGGACACGTGCTACCCACTATTATTTTATTTATTTAAGTAATGTAATTCAAATAAACCCTAAATATAATATATAAAAAACCCAAGCTCTAACACCCCTCTAAACCCTAAACCCTTGCAGAGGCAATCGTGTAGATGTGTTTTCCCGTCCTGAACTTAAACACAGAAACACACGCACACACACACACACGTGCATGCACTCGCAAGAATCAGTTTGAGTCTGTGTCTGTTCGATTTCACTTGCCTGGCAGGAAGCAATCGATGCACATCGAGCAGAGGCTGCCAAACAATTGGTTCCGCTGAGACCCAGGGTCTTTCAGATGCTGAGCGAGGCACCGGTGCAGGTGCAGATGGATGAGGCCGAGTCGCAGAGCAGCCGAAGCCCACCGAGCTCCAGCAAGAAGGAGCACATCAGCACGGAGGTTGTTTACCTCAAGTCCGAAGTGGTCCGTGGTGTTTTGCAGCTGCACAAGGTCAGGGATTTCAAAAGCTCCATACGTTTGGCCTATGGAGTTAGTCGCTCTTTTGCACCCGAACCGAGGTGAGCCAGGCTCTCGAGGGCTACAAGGTTTTGCTTCGTGCTGAGGAAATATGGGGTGTGGCGAGAAGATCCCGGCTCTTCTCCAACTACTGCTCCAAGCTGCGACTCGCTTCCAATTGCTGAGAAAGTGTAATTCTCTGTGTTTTCGTTTGTGACGAGAGATCTAGTCTAGTGTGGAATTCATCCAAGGCAGGATCAGCTTAGATATCGCACAAGCCTGGAAAGTCAACGTGGAGGTCCATATGATCCGCAAATCAACCTATCGGGGTGTTGGGCCCAAGGTTTCCGCAAGTCGACTGAGCATACCCTTTGATGGATTGACATTTCCCGGAGCGCTTTTCACAGTGCTTTGGCTGATAAGAGTCTGGAATTGCTGCTCGCAGGTTCTGCTTTCAGGTTATCCGACAGAATCGCATCTCAGGCTACTTATGTCTTGCAGACGCGAGGCTGCAAGCCAGAAATGCAGTTGGGGGCACTCAACTGCCTCAACGTGCTGCTGGGGTCTAGCCCCTGTCGATTCCTCTTCTCCCCAACGATGAGGATTGTGCCCTGTCTTAATGACTTCGCCCTAGCCTACAGACGCGAGAGAGAGAGAGAGAGCGAGAGAGTTTAAAGAAAGCGGCCGAACCAGATGTCCGTTGATTGCTTCGGTTTGTCTAGTGGAAATCTAGTGTTACTTACTAGCAATACTACGAAATATTTAAAATGAATGAATTAATCAATTAAAACCCTAAACCCTAAACCCTGAACCCTACTACCCTGTGATCGCTAGACTGTACCATTGCTAGAAAGCCGCAGCCCTGCAGCCCAGCACCTTGAAGAAACCAGGTTTTGCGGTAAGCTCCGTATACACGACAAATGCAATCCTGGCACCCGAACCATTACTGTAAAAAAGGATACATGTACCTGAAGTAATTATTTAGTTATTATATTCGAATTCTCTAGACTAATCAACTGTCTCGTATATAGTGACCACATTCCTAAATCTAAGCTAGCCCCGCATCCCTTCAGCACTTGGCTGGTGCCCTTTTGCTGCTTCCCTGTGCTTGTTCTTCGTGCTTCTATATGTATGTAGTATTTGCCTCTCTCCCACTACCTGCCTCTCTCTTTCTATCCCTCCCTCTTGTTCTCCCTCTCACTCTCTGTCGGTTCCAGACTCTCTGTCTCTGGGTCCACGAAACCATAACACACACACGCACACTCGCACAGCACGCACAGCACACACAGACACACACACACACACAGAGACACGCACACACACACCCACACACACACACACACGCACACACACACACACACACACACACGCACACACCCACACCCACGCCCACACACACACACACACCCACGCACATGCCCAGGTCTGCTGGAGATCTCCGGCGGTTTCGTCTGTTTGCGAAGCTGGCGACGATTTCTGGAGACATCTGATATGATGAAGAGGTTCCCGACCAGTCATACAGATTCTGTGAAGTCAGATTCTCTTCTTCGTTCATCTGTAGGTGGCGGAACCATTCCAAAGTGCTCTCGAAACAGGAGCACGACATCGAGACAGGTCCGGTATACGCAGCTTAGCCTGAGCCTACCGCGATTCCGCAAGGGGTGTCTGCTCAGGCATTCGATTGGCTGCTGCAGCTTGGTTCATCTTACGCCAGCCACATCAAGAGATGTTCAAGGACGGAGAGAAATTCTTTGATTCGTACATATGAGCATGCTTTCATACTTTATCTGTTTTGGGTTTGTACTGCTCTGTCACTTTCTTTCTGTGCCTGCTTTCACTCGCTAGAGTATGAACGCCTACCTCCCTCCATTTCTTTAATTTAAGTCTCGGCTGCAGGACCAAGTGACCTGGGGCAGGCTTCAAAGACGCCTGCTCCACACGCTGAGCCAGGCAGCCGAAAGGGAGACGCTGAGCATCGCTATGCCAGATATGCCTCCGTTGCAGCCCGATCACAACTTCCACCCGGCAAGCAAGATGCTTCGCTGCAACTAGATACTGGCATGTCTCCGCTGACAAATTGAGTGAGCTTCTCTCTGCACAAACGGGTCGTCTCAACCCTCCCCCGGCCTCTTCAGGGATGGGAGATTACTTCGTGGAGATTGCAAACCTCGGTCCCAGCTCGCCATCGACAGATTCATATCTCGGGGCGGCGGCTTCTGTGCAAGCAATATGGACGCTTCCCTGAAGGAAGTTGGCCTGGAGGCCTTGTGCCCTTCGAAATATCTGAGGACTGCCCCAAATAACTCATTCGGATCCTGAATGTATAACTTAGAAGACCCAAACTATACAAAAAGGTCTGAACCATACGTAGTTCATTTAGATTAGTCTACATGAAACCCAAACAATAATCACTGAACCCTTATGACTCAAAACCAGCAACGCCAGGACCTCTTCGGATTTCATGCTGCGATACACCCGCCGAACTGAAGAGGATCTGACGGAGGCCGGTGAACAACAAACGAGATCAGTGGAGCTTCCCCTGTCTTCTCTAGTTTGCACAGGCCTTGAAACTGATGAAATTCAAATCTGTGGGGCTGATTTGTGATGCTTCTCCGAAAGCCAAGATGGATGCTGCTCGCTTGCAAGGTTCATTGTTTCGGATTTCTCGTTTCGATATTAGTCATGTTTTCTGTGATTGTCCCGATCGACAGATTTGGCTTCCGATCCTCGTGATGCCCGAAACGATCGGCCTCGGGACCCTGCAGCGGCTGAGTGCTTTGCTGGCTTCGACTGCAAGCCACGACGAGAAGATGAAAGCGGCCGCCCTGATATCTGATTCTCGAACAATGAGTGTGCTCGGCGAGATGCAGAAGAAAGATAACAAAAAACAGCTGAAGCTTGGGTCGCAATTATTGATTGCAGCTCGCGATACAGTGGCGAACTTCTGAGAGCTTTGTGCATGCATCCCTTTTTCATACAAAGGCCGAAAGCCCTCAACAAGATCAAACAGGAGAGATTGGCATCGAGGCAAGAGCTGAAAGCGGTGGTGAATATTCTCAGCCACGTTGGGCTGGACATGGATGCCTTCTATCCGAAGCAGCCTTTGCTTCCTCGAGGAAGCAATGAGGCGAGACACGTTCACCAAATCGGCTCCGAGAACTGTTGCTTTGTTTACGACAAAGACAGCGGCGACAGCCGGTGGGACGTGCCGATGCACTCCGCATCGGAGGATGTCCGACTTGTGTTATGTGCCGATCAGGGATCACCTTTGTACTCCTGTTTTCAGTACCTGGCTTTTGCTGGGTTGAACGTGTGGCTGATCCGGGATGAGCTGCTCCTTGCTTGAGCAATAGTTTTCGTTTTCCTCAAACCACCCGATCGCCCCGAAACCCCGACCCCGAAGCCCAGGCACAAACTACACGCACATCAAGGGAGAGTGAACTCGTGCAGTCCTGCCATCAAACGCTGCTTGGTTGTTTATTTAGACAGTGATTGGCACTATTATGTTCGATCTAAAAGCTTCCTGGCACCCAGGCATGACAATGCTATGTGGGTGGCTCTTTCGGGCGCGGAAATCACCCTGGAATACGCAGGGTTTCGGGAACCTGTTGACCGAAGCAGGAGAACGCTACATGCAAGCGGCACCACAGCTGCACTGGTTTGTGAACGAAGCTTACCAAGGTACTGCGGACTTCCGATATTCAATCTGTGTTTCTACAATGCCCGCCACCTAGGCGAAACCCGATGACCTGTTGATGCAAATGTTTCAGCGAGATATTCTCAAGGAGAGCCTTGTCTGGCACGAAGCAAGAGCCAACCCGTCCGGATTCGTGTGTCGCTTCGGTACATTGCAGCCAAGGAACGACTACGAGGAAACCTCAGACGAGACGCTGAACTTCAACAGGGTCATGGAAATCCTCGGCAAGGTCTGCAAGCCGCTAGAAAGCATTTGTTGCAAAACCCGATTGTGGGGGGGCTGGGGCTTATAAGACTTCGACATGATCCCAGTCAAGATTTCGATATATCCGCAAGGTTCAACTCCGAGACATTTTCGTGGTCACGATGGTGCAGCTTTGCCCACACGTCGAAGCGATTTCAGATGAGTGCAACCCTGCTCCTGATTCTGTGGAGTGCCGTGGAGGTCGCACTGTAGCCCGAGCCTGCCTATTGTGTGCTGAACTTGTCCTGTGCTGCATGAACCCCTCGATCAGACAAAGCCTTGAACAAATGAAGGTGGGAAAAAACCCTTTCGCCTTCGAGAAGAATGCCGGGCAGCCCGAAGCATCCTATGACAAAACCGTGAATACTTGCATCAAGGCTTGGCTCTAAGTGATGATTGTCCTATCCTGTACCAATCCAAATTATCAATCCAGCAACGCTGAGATGCAGGTCTTGACGAGCGAGGAGATGTTCTCCCTCTTCCGTGTGGCTCGCCTCGTCCTCGATCCCTTCAGGGAGTTGTGTGTGGAGCTTGTGCCTCGACTATACTAGAGTGACTGCACTGCTTCTCTGGGTGTGCAAACTGCTCAACCTGCACATTGAAACTAAGCAAAAAAACACGAACAAGAAGAATGCCCTCCGCGACCACACGCTCAAGATGAATGGCCCATTCTTGGAAAAGACCCTGAGCGACTTGGCTTCGAAGGCCTTGAGTTCCAGCGGTCTGGGCATGATCCCAGACATTGCCGCCGGAGCCGGAGCAGACCAGGCCAGGATTGCAATCGTTGCTGCTATCTCTCTGAAACTGCAATGAACGATTAATGATGTTCCTCAATTCCTGACTCGCAAGACGTCTCAGTGCTACTGCATTATTTATATTTTAAGGGCGATCATGAATTTGTCGGGCTCGGACACAATCAGTAGTGATTCCTGTGTCTGCATCCAAAAGACTGATGGACGAATCGGCGAAAGCAGCTGGCCAGTTACAAGCTTCCAAGAAGCAGCTCGGTTCCGCCAGAACACAGCGACACAAGTCAGTTCCGCAAACCCTGAATGCCAAAATCCAAGCAAGTGTTTCAACCCGGGGACCTAGGGAGGCTACATCTCTAATTATTACGAGATATGTGAGCTATGTTTATATATGTATATATATGGCACGTACGAACCACTTTGTCTCCGTTGTAACAATATTGGATGCCCACTCCTTCCCAAGCCACAGCAGCGAGTCGGCACGCACAGGACACGAACAGAATGAGATCAAGCGAATGCGAGAGCGAGAGAGAGAGAGAGAGGAGAGAGAGAGAGAGAGAGAGAGAGAGAGGGAGAGAGAGAGCGAGAGGGTGAGAGGGTGAGCCACGAAGCGA